CGTGGTATTGGTGCATCAGAAAAAATATTTCAATGAACGACGCAATCTGTTAACTTCACATCACTGGGGGACATTCCTTGATTTCTTCTTGAGTTGCCTTTTTGTGTTTTGTTTTATTCAAACCGCGACCGACCTCTGTGAGGAAGTAATAGGCAACACTCCGCAGTACATTGCTCTATTGAAGTTGCTTGACCTGTTGATATGTCTACTCTAATCCAGAGGTGTCTAGCCTTACAATGCAAAATACAATACTGCATTCACGAAGTTAGTTGAAAAATACTACAATTTTATGTACTGACATCTGCATTGAGACTGCTTGTCCGGTGCGTCCTTTCACTCGCTACTCCAAGCCAATATTGGTTGTCCTGTCGCAGAAAGAACAATGAAACTCGATTACTTTAGCCTTCTTGTTTCATTTACGGCACGTGACGCCGTCGCCATTTGAATCCAAGATAAAAAGCCCGCCATAGAACTTGAGAATCCGTTGTCTGTAATTCTGCCATTATCCCAAGCACATGACTCACATTTGATATAGCCACAAGTACATTTGAGAGAGAGAGTTTCCAACGGCATTGCTTCACGTCGCTGTAAGTAGAAACAGCAATTTTCAAAATTGCATTGGTCAATAATTTATAAAAAGCAACAAATTCCAAAGCGTAACTACAATCAATAACCGCCGGGAACTGAGGAAAGCCCCAGCGACATCAGAACAAGTAGCCTTCCCGTACCAATTTAGTATTTTTGCCTATCCATTTTTATGAATATTTGTTTTGCATGCGTAACCAATGTTTTCACACGAATACCTATTCTCAATCTCCCTCACTTCCTTACCGCAAAGTTTGCCTCCAGGGTTTTCCTTGTAAATCCCTTGCACCCAACTCTTAGCATTTTTCCACCATTATTAAAGAGTCTGCAGCCTTTCCTCTCAGAAATTGAGGATATGGAATGGAGTTTTTGACGAGTGAAGAGGATGAATGTAACAGCGACTGGGACAAAGATCATTCACTCATTTCTTAGCAGTAGGTTGCTTGATAGATTTGATAGATGGCTACATTTCACAGTCGTTGGTCATTTTTAATAGTATAAGCCTTTCTACTTCCTTTTGCCAATTCTCAGAATTCTTAACTTCCGGTTTTGCTTTCCGTTTATATGCAATTATATTGCTGTATTCTCTGGTGTTATGATTATCTTTCTCAGGATTTCAAGAAAAAATTCTAAATATGAAAGAGGACTAAAGCCTTTCATAAAGGGGAAACATTTATGAAAAATCCTTCTTTCCGTATCGATTTCCAGCCAAGCTTCCGTGAGATCATAGTTAGTAGAGGGGACGATGCGTAGACAAATGTTCTGAGCATTTTTTTCTCTTGCACACCAAAGTATCATTCGTGCATCAGTTTTTGGTGAGTAAAAAACAAGTAGTCCCTCCTTTGTATCACATTGGTTCATATTTAGAAACTGCTTTGTAAGCTCGCAGTAGTTACTATAAAAGCACGACAAAAAATGGGAGACAAAATTCCGTTTTTTTTTTTTTTTTTTTTTTTCTCCCTTACCTTTGTAGATTGACAGGATCAGGTCTCCAGAATTCCGCGAATTGCTCAGGAATAAAAGTTAAAGAGTATAAAGTATACTCTACGTGGCTTGCAAACGCGGAAGGCCTTCCGGTAAGAAGTTCATGGCACTGTACGAGTGGTTACAAAGTATTCCCTAACCCTCGTTCCCAGAGGCCTATCGGCAACAGGCATACCAGAAAACGAAAAGACCCTGAGGACAAGCTTAAGCATTCCAAAACCATGTAATTTTAGATCTTCTGTGTGACTGAGAAGCAGTAACCTCCCAAGCAGGCGTTTTTTCACCGCGTTTTGTGGGGAGGGTTGGGTAGCAGATGAGTCCCCTAGGCGTTCCTGGGGGTACTTTTTCTGTCAAAAATGGTATATAAAAGGGTAATGGGTTGGACTTCCGGACCGAGCCTACCCTAGTGACTTGTAATGTTCAAGAAACAACAACCCGGCTCAGCTGCAAAGCCACTCTTGTTTTCCTGATCTCTTGGTAATTCTAACTGCAGATAAACCACTTTAAAGAGGACAGCGAAAGGTTTTTCGCAAAAATTTTATAAAATTTTCCGAGTGTCAGGCTGTAAAAGTTTTTTGAGACCCTTTCCGCCGCTTGGCATACTACCACATCATACTGAAAAAAAAAAACAAAAACAACCATATGCCGTTTCTCAGTCATTGAGACAACTTTCGTCTATGTTTTTCTTTCTTTGCCTTTTTCCTTTAAACAAACTCGTTATCTCCTGGAAGGAAGTACGAAGCTTGCAAACGCGGATCGGAAATTTGATATTCCAGGCTACTGCAAACGAGGAAGGGAGCGTTCTCAGAGAAAAAGATAAGGATCGATAAGGCGCGCTACATACGACTCTTTCCCTGTCCTCTCCATTTCTTGGCCATGCAAGGATATAAAAAAAATTGCTTCGGTCCTGAAAAGAAACGAAGCCTGGTATACAGAAGTTACATACTAGAGAATCCGAAAAGGGGTATATCAAACGAAGGAAACTCAAGGAGTGTAAGCGGACAAAGATGCCGCTGAGAAAAATTTGCTGTCGTCCTGAAATGTAGATAATCCTGTTCCCTTTGCTTTTTGAAAGCCTGAAAGCTTCCGTCGTCAAAAAAAGCAAATAGGCTACGTGACGCGTAAACCAGGAAAACATATAGTTCCTGTCACCTCACTCACCTGATATTGCAGGAAACTATCCCTTTTGGGGGCTCTTCCCGCAAGGTACTTCCGCTCTTCTGCATTGCTTGTACCACAATTCTTTGCCAGCCCAGGGCGTTGTAGGCGCGGTTACAAAGCATCCTTCCATCTTGTTGTGCATTTGCATGTTTCGGAATAATTTTAGCTGTTTTGTAATGTCGTGTGACTTAGACAAAACGACGAAGAAGCGTAACGGTTGACAAACTGGTGCCTGAACCTGCAATAATATGGATACTTGCGTGAAACGGGTGGTGGTCTTGATGGTTTTTACATCAGTTGTACTTTGTCAAGGTGCGTATAGAAAATTATCACTTCCTTTGGTGCACTGTTTTAATTTAAAACAGACGTTTAGCGTGTACTTGCCCGCGCGCTCTTCTTGCAACCCCTTTGTGATCATAAAAAAACTGAAAAGGTAAGAAATCTTAAAAATAATAAACAGGCGTGACACGTCAAACATATTTTAAACTTTTATAAAAATAAAAAACCTTAATACTGATCATGAAGCTTGAATTGTTCATTCCAAGCGACACAGGGTGTACGTGTAGCATACGAAATAAGCTGTAAGCTTTTGTATGTTAAAATACGTCGTCAACATTTGTAATACAAAGCGTATGGCCGTAAATACTTGTCTTTTGTTATTCTTTTCTTAAGGTAAATCTATATTTTGTTATTTAAAGCTTTTCCTTGCTTAGTTGTTGTTCAATTGGTCCGTTTGTTATACTGAACTGAATGTTAAACCATCATTACTGATATGTGATCATCCATGGTCTTGCCAGTGAAGAGCAGTGGGCATCGTTTTCACATCATTCATTAGCCTGTTTATATCATGTTTGTAAACTGTTACCCGCCTTTTTCAAAATTGGAAATGATCGGAAATGGAGCATAAAGTACATTTACTGGTGTGGAAATCTGATGTCCAGATGTACATTCAAAAAATACCTGTAGCTTTGAAGAATTATGATCAGTGTTGGGAGTAAAGATTGCTTTTGAATTTATGTTTTAAATCTGTGATAAATTTGTCATTGAAAATCCTTTCATTATCTTTAGAAAAGTTACTAAAAGGTGAGTGTTTGAGATTGTTATCACCTGTTCAAGCTGCGAGTTGATAGCCTCTGTAAAACTAAAACTTGAAAAGTATTTTGTTTTTTATTTTTGTCATGAATTTAAAACCTCAGGTGACCCAAAACCACTGCCCCCCAGTCCATGGACCCCCCTACGGACCACTGTACAGACCGGTACACAGACCCCCCTTACGGGTCCCCATGAAGACGATAATAAAAATGACAGTTAGAGATTTGACTTACCGTTTGTTTTGTTTTGTTTTTTGTTATTGTTGCCTCCTTTACTGTGATGATGAAAGGAGGACCTGCATACATTTATGTCGAAAAAGACCGATAACTTGGCTAACTTGTGTATTCGCTACCGGCCTCCAATTGCCTCTGCCATTTTGTTCAGCTTAATGCTCCTTGTGTTCAGTCACTCGTTCCAGACTTCAAAAATTAGACGCAGTATCTCACCTTTCTCTCTCATGCAACCATGGATGACACGGGACACCAAATCTCACGAAAGTACATTTCTGTAATTTATTAATTTAGTTCGACACTGCAGAAGGAATATGTTTGAATCACTGCCGTGCCAGATTAGTGTAGCACAGCAGAGCTTGCCCTACTTAATTTGTCTGTCAAACCAAATTCAAACTTTGATTCAGACATTGTGTTTCTGTTGTGTTTAATTCACTGAATTAAGTTTGGCATGTTAAGTGTCATTTGAAGCTAACTACTGCAGCAGTCATATGCAAATTTTGGTATGGCCCATAATGTTTGCTTCTTGACTACTGGTTTATGTACTGTTTTGTTGGATATTGTTATTGAAATATAAAGAAACTGTTGAGCTACGACAAGTGAAAAGGCAAGTAGGGACTTGGAAATGTTCACATAAAAGGTTAGTCATTAATTCATGTTACGGTTTTATGTTTTAATAAATAATTTTGAACAAATTATTGATATTCAGCTTAATTTTTAATGTCTTTTGAAGCTGAAAGAAAATAGAGCAAGGTATACTTCATTTATAAATAGTATACTACTCCACTTATTTCAATTGAGTTTTCCTCGAGTGTCTTCAAATCCACTTATCTCTAGATTCCATTTCTTTCTCTTACAAAATTGTTAAAATCATCCTGTACTTTTTTTTATTAAACCTATTACAGGACATAGTCAATAAAAAGAACTTGTAGCTATATCATCATTCAAATTTTAAAGTGTAAAATCCCTAAAAAGTTTTTCTCACTGGAGCAGTATGTAAAAGGTTTTCAAAGATTTCACTCGGTGAAGATGTGCAGCCTGTCACCCGTGCAAGTTTTTACTTTGTAACCTTTTGCTGCTGTGTCACTATTGCTGTGCCTTCTCTGGTATGCATCAACAAAAACATTGACAGCTTTGGTGGTAAAATCTGTTATAATCTCATCACAGGTAATACACTGCCAAAATTCTTTTTCCCCTGTTTTCTCGAAATGAAAATCAAGACAAGTTGTTCAAGTCGGAAACCCTCATGGCGCAAGCACACACATTTTTCTTTTCCAACAAAAAAAGATTCCTAAAAAAATTCAACTCGTGGAGGATTCACCCATTTTTGATTTTTCGTAAATTATTTGACTCAAATTATTGTGATGAAGTGTGAAGGAATGCAAGGTAGATTATTATTTTCAAATGACATTTTCGCTGCTGTTGCCTTCCTGTATCTTGAATTCTTCAACACAAAAGAGTTTAAAGCTCTTTCGGCGAAAAAATGGATATAGATAGAGACTGACTTTATTAAGCGAGGGTAGCACATGACAGTATTAACAACTGATAACCCAGTGGCTTTGAAAAATTAAAAATACTTTCACTAATTTGGCCTATCATAAACTTTAGTGATAAAAAATTATGTATCAAAAATGGTATAGATAAAGATTAAAATATACACAATATCGTGATAAGTTAAGATGAAAAAATTATGTATGTTATTAAAAACTTAAGTCCTTTTTCTGAGTAACTAAAAATTTCTTTAAAAGGCTTTTTTTAAAACCTGAGTAGCTGTCCAAAACTCTCAGAGATCTTGGAATAGAGTTCCAACCCTTAATAGAGCGAACTGTAGAAGAACGACCACCCTCCCTGGCATAATTTTATCGAGGACAAAGCAAATTTTAATTACAATATCTTGTATTCCTCATATGCATGCTAGAATTTGTAACTAGAAGTTTATTCATATAATAATTATTAGGAGTGTTTCCTTTAGTCTCTCGTGAATGAGTGCGCTTTGATTTATGTGGGACTCCCTATAAAAAGGAATCCATTTAAGTGTATTAAACAGTTCCAGTACTGATCTTGAGTTAAAAGGTGCATTCAGAATCACTGTCGCTGCCCTCTTTTGAAGTCTGAGAATGCTGTCCAAAGTTGCCTTGCTTGTAGGTGACCACACACTCGATCCATAAAGGAAAGATGGTTTAAGTACAGCATCATAGTAGAGCTCTTTATGTGATCTTTTTAAGTATGGACTAATGTGCTAGAGAAGTCCAATTGTCTTTGATAACAACTTACATAGAGCATCTGATTGAGCATCAAAGTCAAGATCTTGGTCTATATGAATACCTAGAGGCTTATGGCTTTTAACCTGTTCAATAATAGCCCCATTCAAAGAGAGGACTTAGATTTGCTTCAGTACTGTCCAAACATTTAATCAAATTAAGTATTGTAGAATCTCAATATAATGAAGGGCCAGGGGCTGGCAAAATATGCTCGTTATAAGGAGGTTTGTTAACTTATATCAAGGTTCGTTTTCATATTGCCATATATTTTACTGTTTCTGGGGTTAAAAAATACTTCGTTTTACCGCGGGATTTTGTTATATAGAGATCCCATTCTAGCATCTAAATTTATTATTGGTCAGTTTCAATCCCATCAGTCTGACGTGTAGTAAGCCTTAAAACGCCTCTCTTTACGAGGCTGAGGGTGCATCTGGATTATTCTGTCTGCGGTATTTTCCCTCCTCTATCAATCATAGCAAAGTCCCCCTGCTAAAAGATTTGACAGCTAAACACGCAACTGTCAAATAAAATAAGGGGCATTGCTATCTCTGATGGACATCAGCATCTTTCTTTGTCAAAGGAGCACTATTTTGTGAAACCTGGGACATGCGGGGGAATGAGCCGAACAAAATAGCAGAGGCAATCAGTGGCAGGGAATGCACCAGGAAAAACACTAGTTAGCTAAGTTATCATTACGTAGGTCCTCCTTTTATCCCCACAGCAATATTTGCACTGCGCAACAGTCAAAATTTGCCACCATGAAACAAAAAACAAATGGTAGGTCAAATCTCTAATTGTCATTTTTATTATTGTCTTTTCATGGGGGGTCTGTAAAGGGGGGTTCTGTGGACCAGTCTGTACAGTGGTCCATGGAGCATGGACCAGGTCCGTAGGAGGGTCCATGGAACGGGCCAGTGTTTCCAGGTTACCCTAAACGTCTCTCCCTCCCAAGCTATGTATCTAGATTTTCTTTGATCCCATCAACTTTGTACGTGTCTCAGGTCAAAATTAAATTCAGGTTAAAATTTTTTAAGCTAGCATTTACTAGCCCAGACGTCATTTCAACTAGCCCCAAACCTTTTTGACTAGCAGAATTGATTTCACAGTTCTTCTGTTATTCAGATTCCTTAAAAATTGTCACTTGCCCGCCGGGCAAAATAAAAACAGAATTCACTGGCCAGATAGCAAAATCCACTAGCCCCATAGCCCAGGCTATCGGACACTACTTTCTTTGCACACTGCCTAATCAATAAAGTTCAGAAGTTCAGAGTCATTCGGTGGGGGGTCTTTGTTTTCAAGGCACCCAGTTTGGCCTGTGTACATCAGTGGTGTGGAAGTGAGTGCATGCTAAAAGAGACTTTTGATCACAGCACTTTTCAGCAAGAACAGAAATATCATAATATTATCATATTATATGTTGTTTTCATATTAGGCAACGGACTCTCTCGAGTTCTAGGCCAGCAAGTGTGAGTGAACAAGTGAAACATATGAATGCCTGAGTGCCCACAATACTTGTTTCTTCACTACATGTATCACAAGTAAAAAGGAAAAAAATTACAAGATTAATCCTTATCAGTTTGGAAATATGAGAACTTTGCATAGTTGTTTTGACGTTACACATGCATTTTCTTTCTTATGCAGGTGCAGCATCTGACCAAAATGTCACTCAACCAACTAGCAAAGTAAATGCTACAATGACACCAACCCAACCACCAACCACAAACAAATCCAGCGGCAATGAATCTTTTAATGAAACAGTTACATCATCTACGTCAACCTCTGGAAGTCTAGAATCAACTGGTACTATGGGAAAGCGAGACACACATGGTTTGTTGCAAAGATCATTGTATGTGGTAAGTGAATTAACAAAACCCTTTGGGTATCTTATTTTACAAAGTCTAACTTAGGCTGTGGTTTAAGAAATCATTGGATCTCCACTGCAGGTTCTCATTAAGCACTGGCAGCTTTGAAGTCTGAGCCATCTTCTTTTGGCGGAAAATGGGTAAAGTGAGGGAGTGAAAATTTCAAATTCCCTACAGAGCTTGATTGCCAAGAACACTGCCTATAGATCTCTTTTTTCTTGGGTTAATTTAAGGGAATAAGTGCTTTCCAGTCTATTTCTATATGCATTAATGCAAATTATTCATCCTAAACATTGGTGTTTCGATAAAAGCATTAGCTGGGCAAACTGAAAATGACTTCGAATGTGGTTTTGTTGAACACGGACTAAACTCCATTTAAGTATCTGGCCCTTTCCCTCTTTCTCTAGCTTTCTTTTAACCTCTGTTGATCAAAATTTAAAACTTATTCTTGTCACAAAGTATTTTTATAATCATCCACAGAGAGCACAGTTGCCTTATACAGTACATGTAATGCTACTTGTTTATTCCAATTTATTAAATCTGTTTCTTTCTTCATTTGTCATGGAAAGGATTTGCATCCATTCAAGGGTGGTTTCTCCATCTAGTTTTTTTAAAAAAACAACCACCAACCTGAGTGGGTTACTGAAGTAGACACTTTTATGTGAACTCTCCCGGATTATGCAGGAGTCTCCTGAACATGCCACCAATCTCGCAGATAAAATCAACTTCATAGCATTTCTGTGTGAAGAAGGCGGAAGGCAATTGCTCTCACCACTACACCATCCCTGCTTCCCAAAATTCTTTTCCAGACCTTAGGCAAAGGGGTTCTTGAGTGATGCACATTAACTGGAGGTGGACTTTTAGCATTCTTGGGTAGTACATGCAGTTTTCCCAAATTCTCAAGCAAATTGTCTCTGTAAGAGAAAAGACTCACTAGCAATAAGAATTTTGCTAGCATTAATTAGAGTTGATGCATACAGAGTATTAAAAGGGAAAAGGTCTCATCTTTGATTGGCATCACATTGCTCGAAAATGCCTTTGCTTAAGTTCGTTATACAGTAAACACCCGCATATAAGAACACACGATTTTGGAGGTCAGGCTGATTGAGTTCTTATTTATCGGGTGCTTAATGACAAATCAGCCTCAAAATGTTCTTAAATTTTTATTATGTAATACTATCCAAAACATGTTGCTAGAGGTATATTTTAAGCATATTTTAGCAAAATAAAATAAATAATTATCCAGTAATTTGATCATATTATATATTATATTATATCATAAACTTACATGCTTTGTAATCATGACACTTTTTCCATTTTATAAGAACAAGTTACAATTTTCAGGCTAATCTTGTTCTTATAAAAATGGGGCTTTATTGGCCAAATTTCAGCCTGGTGTTCTTAATCCGCTTGTTCTTATATGCGGGTGTTTACTGTATACTGTGTTTGCCCACCTGAACAAGAACAACACACACTCATGTTATCACTTATATTACATAGTACGCCGGACAGAACTGTTCTGGATTAATGTTGTAGTTAATTTTTTAACTCAGGTAATTTTTGTTTTTCTTTTGTTTTTGGGTATGGTAATTTATGCTAACGAAGTTGAAACAAAGGAAAATAAAAATTGCCAGAGATAAAAAGTTAACTACAACACTGATGTTGATTTTGCATACCTTTGTGATTTTGTTACTAAGTTTGGGTATGCTGTAACACAAGTCCCCCTTGCTTGATGAACATGAAAATATCTCTCCGCGTTTGTAATGGCATAAAGTTCAAAAGAGAAAAATAAAATTGAGGTTCTTTGGCTTGTTTTATTTTTGTATGGTAAAACGTCAACCAGAACAGTTTTGTCCCGTGTACTAACTATTTTTATGGTTCTTTGCAGGCTGTTGGAATCAGTGCAATTGTTGTAATATACTTTATTGTGCGTGCAGTTAAAACAAGAGGGAGAAGAAAGGCCAAAAAGTATGTCTTGTTCATTTTAGTAACAAAGCTCACAGAAATTTTTCAGTCACATGATTTTTTAGTGTGATATTCACTGGAAGCTGCACTGTTTTTTTGACAGAATTTAAGAAAATATCAGTTTGTACTTGTAAATAATTGTTTTGGTTCCATATATATCCTTTGTGTAATTTTTACTTACTTTTGATCAGGGTATGGTAATGTGCAGTAATGAGTCTGAAACATTTTCCAAAATGAAATTTAAGCCAATTTAACCTTAATATACACAGGTCTGTACTTTAGCATAACATATCTGGAGCCATTTTAGCATATTACCAGCATCATTACTCTTACTTTATTTAGTTTTTTTATTCATTTTGATAATCAGATGGTGTATTGCATTTCTGAAAAATGTGTTTAAATTTTTCCAGCCAATACTACATAGATAAATGACATAGGGTGTCATTTACCTTACTATGTCAGGCCTGCAAGGTGCTGACATTTCCTTTCAAAATCAATTATCAAAGACTATGTAGGACTTTTACTGTTTTATTTTGATACATGTAGTAGGAGAAGGAAAAACGTCCAGTGTCATTAGGCAGATACAGTCAACTCTTGCGTTGTTGACACCACGCTATAATGGACACCACAATAAAACAGACAGTAGCTAAATCGCCGGCAAAAAAAATTACAATCGTGTGACTAAAATAAAATCCCGCTATTACAGACTCTCGCTTATGAGGACACTAATTCAAGGTCCCTACGGTGTCCACAATAAAGGGAGTTAACTGTACTAGGTACTGGATTCCAGTCTTTGCTAGTGGAACTTGGATTCTGGATTCCAGTCCTTTTAGTGGGATTCTGGATTCCTTGAGCTGTATTTCAGATTCTGAAGCCCAGGATTCTTGATTTTGCAAGCAAAAATTACTCATATTCTGGAATGCAGATTCTCTTATATGAGGCGAATTAGGAGTAATAACACCTTCGGCTGGGCATAATACCAGTTAGTTTCACTGGTAACACTTGATTTTCAAGCATAATCCACTAGACCTTGAATAGGAACCAAGGTGAATTGCTTTGTGGTGTGCTATCACACAAGCATGAAGCTGTGATTGTAATAATAATAATGATAATAATAATAATAAAGGTCTTTATTAATAATTCATTGCGCAAACAGACATGCAACAATTTACATAGCAATAAAATGAATAAAGGAAAGCAAAAAAATACATAAGGAAAACGACTAAATAAATATTAGTTACTATTAAGGAGACATCTATTAACAAAAACTGATTATTTATTATTACTTTCTGTTAGGTATGGTGTTATTCATGGAACCGGTTCAGCGGAATTGCAGCCTCTAGAAAAAGCTATGGAAGAAGAAGAGGAAGAAGAAGACATGACACTTTTTGACCGGAAAGACACTAAGTGGCCAAGATAAGGGGTTATTAAGTTCATAAACTACTGTACTACAGAGCCAAACTAATCTACAATAATGATGTAATAAACACCCAGGGCGTCCATTTAATTTCCGGGGTCCAAGTGAGGGCATTTAATAGATAGGAGGCGTTTAATTTAAAAAGAGAGTCATTTTATTCTCATAACTTTAACAAGCTCAACAAAAGGAATATACTTTGGGCTAAAATATCAAGTTTAGAAATAGTGGAATATCCACTCCATCAATTGATATGTCTAGGCCATCTACATGTAGAGATCCATACCACTCTTTTAAATTCTAACATCGATGTCAGAATCCTCGCTCAGGGTTGTTGTGTTGCCATCATCAGTCTATCCTTACTAGTCTTTGAACTTGACATTGAACGAGATGAAATACGCAAAGCCTTTTAACGCAAGAAACTGAATAATTTGGCTCCTTTTTCCTAATTCCTGGTAATTTGGAGTAATTCTCGTAGGAGGCCTCTATTAGACAGTGGGTGTTTATTAGAGAAAGGTGTCTAATAAAATTTTAACAGTGTAGAGGGAACGTTATTAGATGAGAGGCTTTCTGAGTGGGAGTATATTAGGTCATTTATGGTAACAGAAAAGAAAATTTTGTGAAGGGAAAGAAATCAATGCAGAATTCTTTAACTCTCTCTCTGTTAATAAGTGTACAGGCAACAACACTACCCTGGGAATGAGGTTTCCACTTCAGGTATAGTCAGAAGACTTTTCTTTAGCGCTACACATTGATAGAAGGGTACTTTTTGGCCACGGCCTGATTTCGCCTTATTTGATAATGTAATTTTATTAATAATAATAATTAAGAATCATTGAATGAGGCTGAGTATTATGGAGAAGGTGGATAACACCCTCCAAGATCTCCATTTTCAGATGATACGAAAGCCAGATTCAATAATTGCTTTATTATTCATTCAAAATAATTCCTAGTATAAAAACGATCTGAAACATGCTTACCTCCATCAATGATAAGTTCATCTTTGATAGTACATGTTTATTGGCAATTTTACCGGGTAAAAATGTTCCACCATTTTGTATCACTACCAAAACAACTCAACCTTGTCCCCAGGTCTTCTCGGTTAAGGGTTCAATAATCTGACAATTTTGCTGCATGATTGACGTCATCAGTTCACATATTACAGAATTCGTCCAAATTTGGTTGACAGTAGCTGGTTATGATGAATTAAACGTGGGATTTTAGCCAATCAGAATCAGAGAAATACTTTGAATGAATAATAATTATGATGATGATGATGATGATGATGATGATGATGATGATTAGAATATCAGGCCAGGGACCATAGACTTCCCGTGGCTGCTATGAGCATGACCACTGGTTACCTCCATTGGAAATGAAAGAAAAAAATAGAACCAAAAGAATATAATACTGTATGTTCTTAAATAAAGCAAGCTTACTCTAATGAATGCTCTCCCTGGAAATTGCCCCACCCCTTGAATAACTCGGTAATTTATATGTTGTGGTTCAATTTTATTTCCTTTGTTTTGGGATATGTTGATGTATGATAATGAGTTAAAAACAAAGATAAATAAAATTGAAGCCAAGGATAAAATTGAACCACAACATATGTACACACTGCAACACTGTTATTATGATAATTATGACAATAGTTATGTTTTTAGTTTAAGATTAAGCATTCATACTATCTGTGCATTGCAATGTACAACATTAATTTGAGCCTTATAATATTAAGCCCTATCAGTGACATCATCAATATTCTCCTCAGGATATTGCTATTAATGACCAGTAGCTGAAGGTAAAATTTCTTGGTCTTTTTAGCCAATACTCACAAATGTTATCCCATGAAGTGGATGGACATCAGTTTGAATTATACACGTTGATACTAAGTTTTTAGTTCCAGGAAATGACATTGCTCAACTGTGAAAGTTTCTTTGAAGTTCCAAAAATAATAATAAAGTTAAAAGTGCTTTAAGAGTAAAAAAAAATTAAATTAAAAGTGCTTTAAGAGTAATGAACTGTCATAACATTTAAAGGAGAAGGAGCACAAATATCGTCTCCTATAGCATCTCTGAAATTATGTTTGCAGTCTCTTCGGCCATCGCCTTGACTTGAAACATGAAGCAAGGTCTGTCCTACTAGGAAGATGCTATGAATATTTCCCGGAATGAAACAAAATAATCAGCAGTTCTGTGAAATCTACATGATATTGTGAAAACATCAATAATAAGTTTCCCAGCACTCGTGTAGATTTTTAAGGGAGTTTACGGCTAAAAAATGAATAATTGTGTGGTAGAAACTAAAAGGAAATACTCAAAAGTACTACAATGTATGTCAAGATTGTTTTTGTTTTACTTTTTGCCTAGAATATTTTGAAAGTAGAGTTTGGTTAACATAACACTTAAACTTCAAGTGCCTGCGTTAAAAAATGGTGTGGGTGTTGATTAAACTCAAAGTCAAGAAAATTGTGTTACTGGGGACGAGATAAAAATGTATGGCGCTCTTTTAATTTACACTACAAAGCACTCTTGTTTTTACTTGCTTTTTTTTCCCCAAATCGTCTTTCTTCTAAGCGCAATATATTGGCTAAGTTGTTTCCGGTGTAATGGTATATTGCTACCTCTTTGGTCGACCTTCAATAATCGGATCGATTCAAGTGTTAAGTTGCAGAATAAACTGACCAAGACGCCAAAAAATGCCCTTTATCCGCCATTTTATGTACCCCTGACATATACCTTCTATTGACAAATGGTAACCCTTTCTCAAAGCTAGTTCAGAACTTTGCACTCCTTTTAAATTCTTTGAAATTAATGCACCGTCTTAAATATGAACAAATCGCAAAACCAGGAAGTTTACACGATGAGTTTTCAGGGCAGTAAAATGCATCTGTTTATAACCTTAAAGCCCTTTTGTTCCTTTCATAGACCTCAATGACAGATTTTCCTACCCTTTCATATACCTGAAGACGGAAAAGGGTAGCCCTTTCGCACGGAGCCTCAACGTATAGGCCATTATAGGGGGGGTTTAAGGTCAAGTCAGTCCTGTCAAGAAGAAAGTTATGTCGCCGGAAACCAGAGTTGTGTCGCCTGAAAATTTTAGTGAAGTCGCCCGAAATTTTATCATGCTCAACAACAATCCTAACATCTGTTCTTTAAGAACAAGATACATTTTACTCATTTATCGTGCTTATTTTGTTTAATTAAGGTGTAAAGAACGAGACCATGACAGTGCCGGATCCCTACCTTGAGATAAAGTGGGGGGGGGGGGCCGGTCATCCAGACCCTTAGGGCCTCTTTACATGGAGTGGGGGACCCTGGTCTAGTGGGGTTGGTTTCTTTTGTTTTCACGCTCTGTGGGACACAAAACAAAAGAAACTTACCCCACTAGACCGGGGTCCCCCACTCCATGTAAACATGCAGGGTCTTAGATAAGCGGGAGCGGTTTCCAAAACATTTTTTCGGTTTGGTCTAAAATTAAGGGGGGCCCTGGCCCCCAGGTCCCTCCCCCGGATCCGCCATTGCTTTATTACACAATTATCCCGCTTTTTTCGTCTCATTATCGCTCATACACCCTTTTAAATTTTTGGTTCGGGCGACTTGACCGGTTACCAAGAGACTAGCCGGTTACAGAAGCCTGCCGGTTACTATACTAAGGAGTACCCCCCAGGGGCGTGCTGCTGGTAACAGTGTAACGTGATTGTACTTTGGCAAGCACATGAAAGCACATGTGATAAGGCTATGTATATCAAAGAGTATATTGTACTTTTCCTCAAGCCACCTTAAGCCAAGTAAAACTACGGTTACTAAGTAATTCCTACAAACATCTGCCAGCAGTCTCAGATAGTTGACGTCTGTTATTTATCACCAACAAAGGCTGGAGGTTCCCCATTGACTATTCTGAGAAGTCAAAACAACTGAACTGTAAACGCCAGAAGGAGTGCAAAAGAAACGACTACAGAACTTTGAATACACGGAAAGTTTTTCTGCGCGATTAGAGGTGGGTGTGAAAATCTATCGCCTAAAGTTTTGTCCTAGTTTATATACACCTAACGGTCAACCCCATTGAGATTCTCTTGTAACTCCCTTCTGCGGGTTTTGGATATTGCGACATTCGCCACTCAAGTGGAAAATTTTCACAAAGCGCCGGGCAGGAGCCAGATCCCAAGCATTTGTGGCTCTCTTACAGTGTTCGCATGGTAACTTTGCTCTCGTAACTGACTGTCGCAGTTCCCCATTGTTGTACATCAGCGAAAAGGCGAACTCTCGAGTTTATTACCGGCGTCATCGGCTTCGGTTTTAATATACGCTGTGGCTATATGGCCGGTAACCGGCAGCTGAACCGGTAGCCTGCGAGCAAGCTCTCCTATTTGGGTAAGCGAAGTGAGCCTCGCGAGAACGCGCGAGCGAGGGGCTGAGGAAAGGAGAGCTTGCAACGATCTCTCATAAATTTTCATTTCCACCCCGGAAACCCCGGGACTCCGCAAAGCGTGAAAACTGTCACTGCAAACGTGCCGCAGATTAGAAAAGTGACAACCGCCTGTCAAGTAAGTTAAGACAGCCGAGGACGCGTAGAATTATTTATTTAGTTATAAATAAATTTCGCAACAGCATCAAAGCAATGTTTTTACATGTTTTTTTTTCCACGGGGACATCGAACTTCAATGTGTTCGCTCGGATAAGAACTCACTAATTTGATTCTCGTTTCGTTTACTTTTGAAAAGTCATCCCTACTGCAGTGTAGAAGACTACTCCCCATCGCAATCACCAACAAAAACAACATATATTTGTCCGTCTGGAACTGGAGAATAGCGTTTTCCTGCACTCGGTTCTCTTAAGTTTTATTCCAGTTGCTTCCAACTCTTTCTCTTTTCCTTCTTTACGGTCACGCTACACCACAGCTACACTGTCAAGTGTATGTTTCTGAATTTTTCTACCGAGTAGAATTCAACCGGGCGAAGAAACCGATGTTGGAAAACAGCGCTTGAATCACTCTTCACTTTCACTCTCCCGGTTTTCAGAACTAAACAAGGTGCTTGACACAAACGAATACAACTCAGTGATGAAGGGTTTTCATTTTCCTTCCACAAGAACTAGAAACTCGATCCGACTTATCCTCGGCTCGCAATATTCTCTTTACGAGAATTACATCAAACGAGCCCGTCCGCTTTGAGGGCTGAAACATTTTCTCGGTACCAATCTCATCCCCCTGAGAACCAAATTTGACACACAGACGAAGCGTGTGCCAGCTTAGCCTGTTATCAATAAACTTTGATTTCCGGAACGTCATTTTTCAGCCAATGATATTTCCCTTCGTCTGGGCGAAGTACAAATGAAAATTTGTAAGGGATGGTTGCAAGCTCTCCTTTCGCCGGCCCCTCGCGGCTTCGCCGCTCGCTCGCGCGTTCTCGCGAGACTCGCTTCACTCGCCCAAATAGAAGAGCTTGCTCGCAGGCTACTGAACCGGTCAAGGTTTTCAAAACACTAAATGGCCGGCAGTCCTATATTCTCAGTAAATTTCACAAAATCGAAAGATTCCAGCTAATCTTAACTATCATATGTCGATTTAGAAAAGTCAAGCGATCCTGAAATCCTCTTCGAATGGTCATTATTTCCGATGTTAGCTTTACTGTTACGCAGATATACATGTATTTATTAATTGTGGACACGATCATGTAATTTCAAAAGTGAGTCAAACAATTAATTAATTATTTACTTTTTTAAGAGAATAGGTAATGCCATGTATGTAAATGGCAATACCTTAATAAATTGTTGTTGTTGCATTTGTGTAAAAAAGACAGATAAAAACCTGGCGTGACTGGGTGTGAGGATAGTAACTTCTGTGAGTGGCGGAAAAGAGATGTCAGGACACTTTTATACTTATGGCTGGTTTTTTTCGATTTTGTGAAATTTACTGAGATTATAGGACTGCCGGTTATTGAGTGTTTTGAAACCCTTGACCGGCAGTCCAGCTGAAAAAAGTTCTAAGTGTCACAAAATATGGTTCCTCCTCTGAGCCCAGCGTAAACCAAACACTAGACTTGAGATCTGTAAAGCATTTCAGGATCGCTTGACTTTTCTAAATCGACATATGATAGTTTAGATTAGCTGGAATCTTTCGATTTTGTGAAATTGACTGAAAATAAAGGACTGTCGGTCATTTAGTGTTTTGAAAACCTTGACCGGCAGTCGAGCTGAAAAGTGTCACAAAACCCCGGGGGGGTACTCCCACACATTACCTATACGGGTATGTGCCGCCCAAAGGGGT